CACCTCTACATCTACTAAGATCAGCTGTCCCTTACTCTCCTTTTTCATTTTGGCCCAGGCTGGCATCCTCTCCTTTAACTCTTCTGCCACACCTGTGAGGGACGTGCCTAAAGAGACGCTAACACAAGCAGTCTCTGGACAGCTATCTAGGCACGGGCCTGCAACCTCTGCCATAGGCTCATGTGGGTTGGGAGTGTCCTGTTCGCGCGCGCTCAGTTCTCCACATGGCCTTGAAGTAGGGGCAGTTGTGACCCCTACTGGCGGCTGCCTTTTGACTGTTGGGCAGCCCAACGGGCCTGTCTATACTTAGGACAAAATTTAATTACGTGCGCCGGGTCACCACAAAATACGCACTGACCCATGTTCACGCATTCCTGCCATAATTGTCGGTCAAAGCCCAAGTCTTCCCAGGGCCTGCCCTGCGGCAAGCATGGATGCCATCCTCCTTGAGGTGCCCTTCCACCTCCTCGTTGTGGGGACCGGTTACCCTGGCGATTTAATGGGGGACCATGACCCCTACCTCCCGCTTGGCGGTTTCCCTGTCCGCCAACCCCCTGTGCGCCCGGTCCTCGGCCTGCCATGGCCTGGCCCCTTTGGCCTTGGCCTCCTCCTCTACCTTGCGGCCTCCCTCCGGCCGCGACAGCAGCGTAAGACCTCCCCTGTACTCCTCCCCTAGGCCCCACTCAATCTGATCATATGGGACCTCTTCTGTACCACCCTCCTCTAATGTCAGGATCAGGTGATCCTTGGCCTTGACTTGGCCCGAGATGGTACGATCTTTCCACTTCTTCCCCTTCTCCAGGTCCTTATGCCAGAAAGTGGTAACTGGCATAGACTTCGACTCATACAGGACGACTTCTCTACTCAATACATCGTAAGTCATGCCGGGCTGCTGAGATTTGTCAAAGAAATGCCCGCGTAGGGCTTTTGGAATGGCACGATAAAACAACTGGACCAACTGGGGTTCAGTGACCCCGTGGTCCGGGACGGCTACCAAGTCGTCCATAGTACCCTTGAGTGCCTTAGCACTCCTCCACTGCCGCGAGTGGATGGTTTGGAGCTTATCAGAGGCTCTAATGCCTCGCGTTGGGTCAGCGAAACGCTCCTTGAGGAGCTTGAGGAATTGGGAAAGAGGAGTGACTTTGGAATATGCAACCAGGTTGTTTTCACAACCGGCTATACGCGCGAGTGACTTGGCGAAGCTAGCCGCTTCGTCCTTCACGGCCTGGAAGGCCACGAGGACTTGCTCCTCTGTTAGGATATGTTGAAAGTAAATATAACTGTTGACACTGGCTTCCCAATTGTCAAAGTTCTCTTCCTTCTTCCCCCCGTACGCATCTGGGAACTTGAGTTTCACTGGGTCCTTACGGGGTCTGGCCTCTCCCTCTACAGCGGCTACAGCTTTGGCACCCTGAATGGCGCCCTCACAAAACTTCCCTACATTATCTCTCAATTGCTTCACTTCGCCCCCAATATGGGTGACGAACTCGCACGCAAAATCTCTAAACCCTAACCGCATGGCACTCAACGCTGCTCCAGCTTGCCTAGCGCTCCTCCATCCAGGCCTTGCTCAACACCTCCAGGTACCCCAGTACTTTGTCCCACTTGGCCTTATCGTCTGGTTGGGCCAGCACCTCCGCTCTACACTCCTGCACCTTTGCCACCTCTGCGGTCATCTTG